ACCCCAACCCCCTGATGGGCCCTGCTCTGTGTGTGACAGGGGGTGGCGCCGCAACCTCCCCATCAACCCTGCCTTGAGTGTGACAGGGGACGGTGCCCCGACCCCCCAATCGGCCCTACCCTGAGCGTGACTGAGGGTGGCATCACAACCTCCCAATCGTCCTGCTCTGTGCATGACAGGGGGCAGCGCCCCAACTCCCCAATCAGCCCTTCTCTGAGCCCGACCAGGGGCTGCACCTAGGGATTGAGCCTGCCCTCTGCCACCCGGGAGCAGGCCTAAGCCAGCAGGGCATTATCTCCCGAGGGTCCCAGACTGCGAGAGGGCACAGGCCGGGCTGAGGGACCCCCCCCCCCTGAGTGCACAAATTTTTGTGCACTGGGCCTCTAGTTCTATATAATAAAAGGCGAATATGCATATCAACTGAATGGCAGAATGACAGGTCACTATGACACACACTGACCACCAGGGGGCAGATGGTCAACGCAGGAGCTGCCCCCAGCCCGCAGGCCCCAGGACAGCCAAGGCAGGTGCCAGTGGGGGCCCCTGATTGCCCCGCCAGTCGCCCCACAGAGGGAGGCAACCAGCAGCAGTGGTGGGGGGCGGGGCTGGCAAGCGAGCAGTGCCAGGCCAGCCAAGGTGGGTGTCAGCGGAGGTCCCACCATTTACCCCACAGATCAGCCCTGATCGCTGGTCAGACCTAGGGGACCCTACCCGTGCATGAATTTTGTGCACTGGGCCTTTAGTTATAAAATATAAACAGTACAGTGTGTGTGTCTGTGCGTGCTTTTTGAGAGGAGAGATGAAGAAAAAGTATTTATTCAATATTTACATTTATTATTTACTGGCCACATAGAACCGAAGTTCCTGGGAGGTAAAATTTTACTTTTTAAGATTAATCTATAGTGTGCCTAACATAGTACAATTAAAGTATAATTCATTACTTGACTAGTTGCCAAATCATTAGGATACCTTTTAAAGATTTTAAGAAATAAAATAAACAATATAGAAATAGTTATTACGGACTAAAGCTGGAATTAAAGCATCTCTGTCCAAGCCCTATGATAGAATAATGAAACTCTCATTTATTCATATTTGTATTCATATTCATTCCTTCATTCAACAAACATTTATTTGGCATTTATCATGTGCCAGGAACTTGGAAGAAGACTAGGGATGTTCTTTGTACTCAAGGAGCTCACAGTCTAACAATAAAGGGTGAGTCAACAATCAAGTCAAAGGCATGTTAAAGAAACTCAGCCAATTGTCCTTTAGTATGTCCCACTTCATTCAGGACTTTTCTGATTGTTTCCTTGTGGTGTCATTTGTTTTCTATCTGCTCCTTACTCCTTCCTCTTTCATTTTCTGTAAACTAGAAAGTTCAAGCTCAAGACTTAGATTCAGAATCAACTCTTTTGGCAAGAATATTTCAAGGTGGTGCTATATGTTTCACATCATATCACAGTAGGAGGCACAGAATGTCTGGTTATTCAATTTTTAATTATGTTATCATTGGGTTCAGGTGGTGGCACCCTAAACCCTTTCATCAATTCTTCTCATATTATTAACATTATTGATGATCATTGCCCGAATCAATTATTTTACTAGAGTGTTTTTAAGTTCTATTACTCTATCTACATTAAGAAGGGGAATTCTTGGGATTCTTTAATAGAGAAGAACTTCCCCTCCTGAACAAGGACTATTTGGTTACTCTGAAATATAGTCCATACTGGCCAGGTAGAATAAATGCTTAATTATTTTTCATTAACTACCAATTTTCAGAGGAAGGAGCTGGTGTCCTAGTATCTCCAAGGATAGCCAAAAATTATATTTTTGTTTTGTTTTATATTTTTGGTTGCTTGCTCTCTCATCTCTATGAACTCATAGATTTTATAAATTCAGTGGGTTTCAATCTACTGCAGTCATTCTTTTTTTAAAAAAAATATTTTTATTGATTTCATAGAGGAAGGGAGAGGGATAGAGAGATAGAAACATCAATGATGAGAATCATTGATGAGAATCATTGATCAGCTGCCTACTGGGGATTGAGCCCGCAACCCAGGCATGTGCCCTTGACTGGAATCAAACCCAGGACCCTTCAGTCCGCAGGCCAACGCTCTATCTACTGAGCCAAACCAGGTAGGGCTGTAGTCATTCTTGTAGATGTTAGAATTTGTTATTTGGCTGGTGGTCCCTTCAAGCTGACTACTGTACCCCTTCCACATGATCCTATTTGTTTGACTTTCATATCCTGGAATTAGGAGTTTCTTTAAAGAGCCTGGAAACCTTTCATGAGGAAATAGTATTTAGAAACAATAATCTGGGGGCTAGAGGTATTTATTGCTACTGGGTTGTCACTTATTTCTAGGTCTTTTCAGGGCGAAAAGTTAATAGCTACATATTTAAGAAATAAAATGTCAACTAATTCAGACATTTGCATTTAAAATTTAACATTATATATTTATTTTTTTCTCTTACACTGAAGGTTTTATTCTGACCACAAAGTTGACCCTTGAACAAAATGGATTTGAATTGTGTGGATCACTTATATGCAATTTTTTTCAATACAGTACATGTGCCTCAGTGGTTGAGCATTGACCTATGCACCAAGAAGTCACAGGTTTGCCGTAACCGGTTTGGCTCAGTGGATAGAGCATCGGCCTGCGGACTGAAGGGTCCCAGGTTCGATTCCAGTCAAGGGCATGTACCTTGGTTGCGAGCACATCACCAGTAGTGGGTGTGCAGGAGGCAGCTGATCGATGTTTCTCTCTCATCGATGTTTCTAACTCTCTATCTCTCTCCCTTCCTCTCTGTAAAAAAAAAAAAAAAAAAAAAAAAAAAAAAAAAAAAAAAAAGAAGTCACAGGTTTGAGTCCTGGTCAGGGCACATGCCGGGGTTGCAGGCTAGATCCCTAGTAGGGGGTGAGTGGGAGGCAGTCAATCAATGTGTTTCTCTCTCTTATCAATGTTTCTATCTCTCTTCCTCTCTCTCTTCCTCCCTTTCTAAAAATCAATAAAAACATATTTCAAAAAAATAAATACAGTACATGTATATTCTCTTCCCTGTGATTTGTTCATAATAACATCTTTTCTCTATCCTTTCATTGTAAGAATACAGTATATATTATATATAACATACAAAATATGTGTTAATCTATTGTTCATGTTATTGGTAAGTCATTTGGTCAACATTAGATTATTAGTTAAATGCTTGGGGGAGTAAAAAGTTATATGCGGATATTCAACTGTGTATGGGGTCAGTATCCCTAACCCATGCATTGTTAAAGGGTCAACTGTACTCATTTATTATATCTTATGACAGCTGAAAAATTACAATGCTAACAAAGCCACTGAATGAAGTTTATAATTTCTTTGTAGTTCTTTCTGTCCTTAAAATATAATCCACTAAGGGTATTTAGTTCAAATAAGGAGTTCTGAAGTCACTCTAATTTTTTTTCTAAGTAATTATGTCATAATATATTTAATTATGTACATTTATTTCATCTAATTTTCAAATTCTAGGTTTTATTTTCTTTTCTAATTTTATTCTTTGCCCATGTTTCTAGAGAGTGTTAACCTTTTACTTCTTGATTTTTATAAAAGCGCTTTATAAAATAGGAAAATTAACCCTCTGTCTGTTATTTAGCTGTAAACATTTCTTCTTAGTTTTCAGTACCTTTTCCCTTTGCTTGTGGTTTTTTTAAACCATGGAACACATTTTTTAAAATTTCATGTAATTGAATTAATTGCTTTTGGGTTTTGAGTCATGGTTAGGAAGATTTCCCCTTTCCCAGACTACAAAGAAATCCATACAAGTTTTCTCCTTGTACTTGCATAGTTTTAGTCTTACATTTTGAAATAAATGCAATACATTTGGAATTTATCCTGCACATGGCACGAGGAAGAGATCCAATTTTGCATTTTTCCAAATGGCTATCAGTTAGCCAACATCATTTATTCAGAAATCTATTGAAATAACTGATTTGGAATTTTCACCTTTATCATACCCTAAATTTCATACACGCGGGGCCTCACTTGGACTTCCTCATCTGCCCCATTGGTCTATCGGGTTGTTCACGCAGCAGCACCAGTGCCACACTGTTTTAAGTGCTCAGGCTTTAACGGCGTACTATCAGGTAGGCAGAGCTCGCTCCCCACTTCTCTCCTACTCAGAACGGCTTTTCTTTGCCAGGGTTTCCCCAGTTATTCTTCCTTGTATATTTTCCCACAAAAACCTTATTATCAACTTGTCTGACCCCAGAAGAGAAAAAAAGAAAGAAATCAGTTTATATTTGTTTAGGAATCATCTTAAATTTATAGATTAATTTATGGGGCAGTGAAAACCTGAAGCTTTATCTCCTTGTCTAAGATCAGGGCATATATGTCCATTTGTTCAAGTCTATTTTTATGCCTTTCAGAAGTGTTTAAATGTTTTCTTTATATAGGTTTTGCTTGTTTCTTATTATTTTATTCCAAAGAATTTATATTAGTTTGTTGCTATTTTTTTTTTGTTAATCTCACCCGAGAATATTTTATTCATTGATTTTTAGAGAGAGTGGAAGGGTGGGGAAGAGACAGACAGAGAGAAACACCAGTGTGAGAGACACATTGATTGGTTGCCTCCCACACACGCCGACCAAGACTAGGAATTGAGCCTGCAACCAAGGTACCTGCCCTTGACTGGAATCAAACCCTTGACTCTGCAATCCCCAGGTCAATGCTCTAATCACTGAGCAATACCAGCTAGGGCAGTTTGTTGCTATTTTTATGGGGGTCTTCTAGTAAACCTTATGACTGTGTACTATTTGTACATAAGAAGGTTACTGATTTCTCAGGCTACCTTTTAATCTATTTAAAAGCAAATAGTCATAGTCTGTTAAAAGCAAAGATTTTAGTTTTCATATAATTTTGTTTGGCGGAAGGAATAGCAGTTAAGACTTTCTTAATGTGCGTGTTCCCACTGTGGGAATTACCTATGTATCACAAGGGCAAACAAAAACTCACCTTTGTATATTCATCTTTGGCCTTGGTAAGCATTCGTAAGATATCTACTTCCTTCCCCTCTCCTGAACTGAGGATCATTGGGGAGATTCCTGCTCCAGCTTCTTGATGGGCTCTCAATTGTTCATACTGAGTTAGGCTAGAAAAGTAGAGGGGAAGAGCCACACAAGGAAAAACAATTCAAAACAGATGATTTTTAAAAGCATCCAATTCTCACCCAGTTGTTTTTATCCTGTTATACTCACACCATATAATAAAAGGCTAATATGCAAATCAACCAAACAGCAGAATAACCAGTTGCTATGATGCGCACTGACCACCAGGGGGCAGACGCTCAGTGCAGGAGTTGCCCCCTGGTGGTCAGTGCGCTCCCACAGGGGGAGTGCCGTTCAGCCAGAAGGTGGCCTCACAGCTGGCAAGCACAGTGGCAGTGGCAGGAGCCTCTTCTGCCTCTGTGGCAGTACTATGGATGTCCAACTGATGGCTTAGGGCCACTCCAGAGGGCCTAAGCCATGAGTTGGACATCCCCCAAGGGCTCCTGGACTGCAAGAGGGCACAGGCCAGGCTGAGGGACACCCCGCCTCCACTCTGAGTGCATGAATTTTGTGCACCAGGCCTCTAGTATTAAAAATAAGACTGCTTAAGAATTAAAAGAAGGAAAATGAGATTTAAGGGAGGTCCTGAGTTCACTGACTAGATATATGAATCTAGAGTAGAGGTGGGCAAACTCCAACCTGCAGGCCAAATCCTTCCCACTGATGGTTTTTGTGGAGTTACAAACATAGCCCTCTCCTTAGGCTGCTGCCTCAGACTTGCCTGCATAGTTGAGTAGTTGTGACAGAGTAAGTGTGACCTTGCAAAAAAATATTATCTTTACCAACTCCTCATTAAGAGCATTTGAAAGGACTCATTAATTGCTGAGGAAACCCAATTTTAGAGTTCTCAAAAACCAAGCAAACAGCATGGCAAGTCAGAATTCCCCCTTCCTCCAAAGTGCCTTAAAGTCAAAGCGAGGTTAATACCAGGTACTCAAATCATGTGGTTCTCTGGAAGTTTGGAAACAGTGAAGATTCCATTCTAGGAGAGGGGCATATAAAAAACAGAGCAATAAGGCATGTCTTCTGTTTTCCTGAAAACAATACAGAAGGGAGACCATATGCTCCTATATTCTGCTAGGTGGCATTGATAAAAACACTTGTTCCTTTTGTGTGCTTTGACTTTTAGCTCAAATTCTTTTATAATTGCCATGAAGTTGGTCAGAGAGATCTGAGTATGTATTGAGAGGTTTAATTCTAACTGAGGAAGGGCTGGAATCCATACACATCAGCTGTTATTGCTAGTCAACAATCCATTTTCTGCCCTAGCTCTTAAGTAATTAGTGCAGAATGCTGGCGATTTTAACATGGCCTCTTGGCTGAGCTGCAGGGTAATTTTTAATCTACATGAAATCCTGCTATTATTATCCATTGCACAGTTGACAATAACATGAATGTTCTAAGAACTAGTTGTTACAGTGGTAAATACCAGTTTGAACACAATCACAATCTGAAACCTGAGCTAGTTACCTAAAATTAGCTATCATCACAAGCTAGATTTTCAGAAATAAATTATATTTACTGTATGTAAAGGTGGTCCCAAAGTTTCATTTTTGGGAATCACTTTTTAGTAATTTCATTGGCCAAAATCTAAAATTGCAAATGTTTCTTTTGCATATAGAGCTGTTTTGTCAACTCATATGGGCAGCAGTTACACTATTGTGCTCAGCTGAGTCCAGTCACGACCTGAGATACAGCACGAGTGGGAAATATGTCATTCTGGGCTCTAAACCAGCGGTCGCCAACCTTTCGGACCTCATGGACCACCAGTGGTCCGTGGACTAGTGGTTGGCGACCGCTGCTCTAAACCATTCCCATAAACAGCAGGGAAGTGTGACTGCCTCACAGCACAAGCACTGGGCTCAAGAACTGCTCAAAGATGGGAGAAATCACAAGGTAGCATGAGATTAGAAGAAAAAGAGATGAGAGAGAGAGAGAGAGAGAAAACAAAGACCATCCTAAGTACTCACAGTGTTGGAGGGTGGGGAAACCCTGAGCCTCTACAACTATGGGTATGCACTTAAAGGAAAGTATTTAGGCAGGAAGGAAATGAAAGGTCAAAGAGAATCTAGAGGAGCCTTTCAGAATGTCTCCGAATGTTCTTTCTACTAATAGACATACTGATAACTTTCAAAGAAAAACTGTCAAATGACAAATAAGGAAGATATTATGGAAAATTGCCATTTGGAACAACTCATATTACAGGTATTTCACACATGCAGAAAACAATGAGATGATCCATTCCACATGATAAATGTTACCTAGTGGAAATGTAAAAAGTTGTATTTATGTCTCTTTTTCACTTATAAAGTAATAGTAAATGTTTTTCCTAACCACTTGAAAACAATTGCTGTAAGAGATATATTCTGCTAAGATTATGGTGTAGTTACGCATACTTAGAAATACAAACAAAAGCACCAGGTCCTAAAAAATAGTATGCAGTCTTTCAGCACTTACTTTTTCATAAGTTCTGCAATTCTTTGGCATTCTTCCTTATCATAAAACCAAATTCCATAAATGGACACTGTAAAAACACATCAAATAAATTATGAGCATCTTCAAAACTACAAAATTAAAAGAAAGTCCCTCTCCATTTTGAAAGAAACACACAACTACTGAATAAATGAAACCAATCATTGGAATTAAAGCTTGAAAACCTAACACTAGAGTTTATTTATTTATTTATTTATTTATTTATTTATTTATTTATTTTTCTTTATTGATTAAGGTATTACATATGTGTCCTTATCTCCCCATTAGAATTTTTTAAGCCCACAGAGAAATCTACAGTGGTCTTATGCACACACACACACACAGGCACACACACCCAATATAAGTCTGTTGTCCTTAAAAATATAGCACCGGAACATAATAAGCATTTGGTAAATGCTTCTTAATGAATGACTAGAGATTGAAAATGAAATTGGAATTCTAAACTCCTGGCTTTGAAACATAATGTTTCCATATTCCATTTGCACATTTCACACACATGTTTCATCTTTATTTTCAGGTATTCAGACACCTGATGCACAAATTAGGTCTAGGAACCCCTCTCTCTTCTCCTTCTCCCAGGTAAATGTTAACTGAGAAATTGGCTTTTTAAGATGTAAGTTAGGATAGGGTCTGGAAAAATTAGATTCCATAATAAATCTCTGACTCAAAATATCTGTACAGAAAATTTACAATTGTTGATAGCTTAGAAACAACTGTGACTATCGCTTAGTAATGAATGAGTAATTGGTATTGATCAATATAACAATTTTCCAATAAGTTGTATACTTTGGTATGGGCCTATCTATATCATTTTTATAGCAAAAGCTAAAGAGTTCCAAGCAATGTATAAACACCTAATTGAAGACCTGGTGATATTATCACGTAAATAATGCACTCATTACATATACATTTAAAAATCTTCACTGAAAATAGTAGTAATGTTAAAAGGCAATGAAAACCAATAAAACATATTTTTTAAAAGGAAAAACATGTATAATTTATACTTTCAAAACATCCTATATAATAAAGAGGTAGTATGCAAATTGACCATCACACCCTTGTGCAATATGGCTGCCACAAGATGGCTGGCAGGGCTGGGCAGTCTGGGGCGATCAGATTGGCAGGGGAGGGCAGTTGGGGGTGACTGGGCCTGCAGGGGAGGGAAGTTGGGGGTGATCAGGTCAGCAGAAGAGGGCAGCTGGGGGGGGGGGCGGGGACTGGGCCTGCAGGGGAGGGCAGTTGGGGGTGACCAGGCCGGCAGGGGAGGGAAGTTAGGGGCGACTGGATAGGTAGACAGGCGAACGGTTGGGAGTCAGCAGTCCTGGATTGTGAGAGGGATGTCTGACTGCTGGTTTAGGCCCGATCCCACAGGGATTTTGCATGCCGGGCCTCTAGTCCTATCTAATAAAAGAGAAACATGGTAATTAGCATATGACCACTATCCTTATCATTGGCTAATCAGGGAGATATGCAAATTACATGCCAGCCAAGATGGCGGCCGGCAGCCAGGCAGCTTAAACTGAACATGAGGCTTACTTGCTTCAGTGACGGAGGACTGCACCGTTCCCCGCCTGCCTTGCCAGCCTCTGAGCCTGCAGTTTGGAACATTCTAACAAATATAGAAGCTAAACAAAACCCCAGAAACCAGCTTTCAGAGAGCTGGGATCTCAGAGCTGGAGTTGATACAGAGTTTCGATTATAGAACCTAAACAAACCAGATACCTGTTTTCAGCAGCTGAGGCCTCAGAGCTGGAGCCAGGCTAAAGCTGGCCCAGAATAAAAAAGAAAAAAGAAAAAAAGGAGCAGTTGGGAGACTTCAGTCCCAGCCTGAAAACAGCCCTCAGCCCCTCACCCAGACTGGCCAGGCACCCCAGTGGGGACCCCCACCCTTAAGGGTATGTGACCAGCTGCAAACAGCCATCATCCCCTCAACCAGGCTGGCCAGGCACCCCAGTGGGGACCCCCACCCTGATCCAGGACACCCTTCAGGGCAAACCAGCGCCCCCACCCATGCACCAGGCCTCTATTCTATATAGTAAAAGGGTAATATGCCTCCCAGCACCGGGATCAGCGGAGCCGTGAGGCCTTCCGGCACTGGGATCAGTGTGACAGGGGGCAGCGCCCAAACCCCCTGATCGCCCTGCGGCTCTGTGTGTGACAGGGGGTGGGGCCACAACCTCCCTATCGGCCCTGCTCTGTTCCTGACAGGGGAAGGCATCCCAACCCCCTGATCGGCCCTGCTCTGTGCCTGATATGGGGGAGCTCCACAACCCCCTGATCACCCTGCGGCTCTGTGTGTGACAGGGTGCGGCGCCCCAACCCCCCCACCCCACGGGCCCTGCTCTGTGTGTGACGGGATAGAGCCATAACCTCCCCATCGGCCCTGCCCTGAGTGTGAGAGTGGCGGCACCCCAACCCCCTGATCGGCCCTGCTCTGTGGGTGATAGAGGGCGGCGCCCCAACCCCCTCCCCCCACAGGCCCTGCTCTGTGTGTGACGGGATAGAGCCATAACCTCCCCATCGGTCCTGCCCTGAGTGTGACAGTGGCGGCGCCCCAACCCCCTGATCGGCCCTGCTCTGTGTGTGACAGGGGGCGGTGCCCCAACTCCCCTATCGGCCCTACTCTGTGACAGGGGGGAGCTCCCCAACCCCCTGATTGACCCTGCTCTGTGCATGACAGGGGGGAGCTCCCCAACCCCCTGATCGACCCTGCTCTGTGCATGACAGGGGGCAGCACCCCAACCCCCTGATTGGCCCTGCTCTGTGCGTGACAGGGGGTTGCGCTGCAACCTCCCCATCGACCCTGCCTTGAGTGTGACAGGGGACGGTGCCCCAACCCCCCAATCAGCCCTACCCTAGCGTGACTGAGGGTGGCATCGCAACCTCCCAATCTGCCCTGCTCTGTGCATGACAGGGGCCGGCGCCCCAACTCCCCAATTGGCCCTGCTCTGAGCCCGACCAGGGGCTGCACCTAGGGATTAGGCCTGCCTTCTGCCACCTGGGAGCAGGCCTAAGCCAGCAGGTCGTTATCTCCTGAGGGGTCCCAGACTTCGAGAGGGTACAGGCCGGGCTGAGGGACCCTCCCCTCCTCCCCGAGTGCACAAATTTTTGTGCACAGGGCCTCTAGTACTATATAATAAAAGGGTAATATGCAAATTGACTCTAACAGTAGAATGACCAGATGACTGCTGAGCCAGTCACTATGAGGTGCACTGACCCCCTCTTGGTCCCTTTCCCTGGCAGGCAGTCTCCAATTGCTGTGGGGGCGGGACCAGTGAGCGGGCGGAAACAGCCAACCTCTCGGTCCCTTCCCCTGGCCATCAGGCACCGATCACCGGATGGCGAACGGGAACTGGGGGTGGGTGGTGGCAGGAGGCGGGACCGGCTGTGGGGAGTTGGGGGAGATGCCGCGGATTGCAGGCCAGGCCTAGGGACCGTACCCATGCACGAATTTCGAGTGCCAGGCCTCTAGTTTAATTATATAAATATTATTTGGTCATTAAAACAGCTGTGATGTTTTATTATTATTGTTGATTTCAGAGAAGAAAGAGAGAGAGAAACATCAATGATGAGAGAGAATCATTGATTGGCTGTGTCCTGCACACCACACAGTGGAGATCAAGCCTGCAACCCGGGCATATGCCCTGACTAGAAATCGAACCGTGATCTCCTGGTTCATAGGCTGACACTCAACCACTGAGCCATGCCAGCCAGGTTGTGATGTTTTACTAGTAACCACGACATTTCCCCCCACTCACGAGACCAATGCTTTGGTGTGTCTATCTGCATCTTGTCAATAATGATTCAGATGTCAGTAAGTATAGGAAATGTCTTTTTAGTGTAATTTTAAGCAGGTATCTTAAAAGGAACCTTATAAATCTGAATTACTAACTTGCCGAAAGGTAGCAATGGGCTTTTAACGTTTTGTATGATTAGTGTACCAGGAGTCTTTATCTTACCTACCTACATGTATGAAGGGGTAAAAGTGGAAGAAACCAGCTTTTCCTTGAACAGGACCATTTTATCTTCTTAGAACTTCATATCTTGCCTTTAATACAATGACAATCTTTTGAAAAAGAACATCTGAGTTCTGAAGCTAATGGGCTGTAACAGCCTTTATGTCAAAAAGAAATTCTTCCATTTCAAGATTAAATGTATATCTTGAAACTTTTATTCAAGGTTGTTTCCAGCCCATCAACATTGTTTTACCCTGATTGCCTACACAGATTCCTACATACTAACCCACCTAGTTTCATGTTCTTGTAAATAAGTACATGCCATTTGGCTATTTAATAGGTTTATGTGGTTTGGTGGTTTTAATCTTAGTTACAAAACTAGGAACCCAGTCTATTTTTTGGTTACCCATTTTTTTTCCTTGAAGACTGAGTCTTCCAAAACTATCAAAGGAGAAAAGGGGTAGCATGGGAGACAAACAGCATAGCTAACAACATTTGAGGCCCAATGGCAGAGAAAAAAACAGCCATTTGGTCTCATCAGTAGGACATATTAGTAGAAATATTTTGGGTATCATTTTTTTTTATGTTACACATTTGTGGCATTTGACATAAGGAACTAGATTTTCATAAGGGTAGGATGCCAAGTAAACCGTTGATACAAACAGAAACACAATTTGACAATACCATTGCCACGAGATAACTGAAAAGCAGAATTAGGGAAGGAAAATGCTACAGAAACATTTTTCAGATGTCAAAGAATGAAAGAAGACTGGGTTTTAAAGTGATTATATAAGACATTGTGGAGATTTCTTTAGGGCATGACCATTTATCTATAAAGCAACTTGACTTTAAGATTAAAATGAACCATTCTGAAATAGCTCTTTTCATTCCAGTTAATATTTAGTTTGAACACAAAATTTAAAAAGCCAAAGAGTGGGGTGAGGTGGGAACAGATTTACCAACAGTCCTGGCAACGGAAAGGTAGCACCAAGATAAAATGTAGAACTGGGCCTAATTTCTTTTCTCCCTAAAATAGTTTTGCCACTTGAGCTGCATTCCACTGGGAAAGGGGCAG